GTAATAAGACATACCTGTACCTAATACACAGATATATCTATCTTAGTTACTGGTATGTCTTATTACCTAAAACACAGATATATCTAACCACAGTACAGGTATGTCTTATTGCCCATTACACAGATATATCTACTCATCGTGCAGGTATGTCTTGTCTGGAATCCAATACACAGATATGTCTACCCACAGTACAGGCGTGTCTTATTATCCAAAACACAGGTATGTCCTATTACCCAAAACACAGGTACATCTCCCCACAGTACAGGTATGTATGTCTTATTATCCAAAACACAGGTATATCTACCTACAATACAGGTATGTCTTATTGCCCATTACACAGATATATCTTCTCATCGTGCAGGTATGTCTTATTAGCCAATACACAGGTATACAAAGATGTAAACGACACATACGAAGCAAAAATGTTTGGCTACATCTATCTTATTACCAAATACACAGGTATATATACCTTAGGTACAGGTATGCCTTATTACCCAATACACAGATATCTATACTCAGTACAGGTATGTCGTATTACCCAATACACAGATATATCTACCATAGGTACAGGTATGTCTAACCACAGTACAGGCATGTCTTATTACCCAGTACACAGGTATATCTTCCTACAGTAAAGGTATGTCTTATCACCAAATACACAGATATATCTGTGTTTTGGGTAATAAGAAATAACTGTGGGTAATAAGTCATACCTGTACTGTGTATAGATATCGGTGTATTGGGTAATACGACATACCTGTACTGTATGGTAGATATGCCTGTGTATTGGGTAATAAGACATACCTGTGGGGTATAAGACATACCTGTACTGTGGTTAGATATACCTGTGTATTGGATAATAAGACACACCTGTACTGTGGGTAGATATATCTGTGTATTGGATTCCAGATAAGACATACCTGCACGATGAGTAGATATATCTGTGTATTTGGTGACAAGACATACCTTTACTGTAGGTAGATATACCTGTGTATTGGATAATAAGACATACCTGTACTGTGTATAGATATCTGTGAATTGGGTAATAAGAAATAACTGTGGGTAATAAGACATACCTGTACTGTGGTTAGATATACCTGTGTATTGGGTAATAAGACATAC